CTTCATTAACTCAACCTCAACCTGCCTAGTCTTCTTCTGCCTCAACCAACACCGTAGCGGTGTCTTTGGTGAGCTTCTGATGCTGTATCATTTTTTCTTTTGCTCTGGTATCGCTCGTGCTCGTCGGAACGACTTCGTCATCGTTGGAACAATATTTGTTTCACCGGTAATGTCGTGGCCGGACATTGTAGGGCCCGCTAGTCGCCTAGCCACCTCCTAGGGTCCCGCTTTGGTTAGGTTTAGGTATTAGACCCCTTTCGGCCGTCGGGTAACCCAGCCGTTGGCCGGTGTAATCGTCGTCGTATGTAAATCGGTCAAGCTTCTGGCACAATGGCCACGATGTATGCCCGTTGCAAAGATGAGTCTTTGCAGGGTGCTGAGCGCAAACCCCTTCTCTATTAGAATAGTGGCGCGTTGCGCCACGTAGTTCTTCTAGTATCTGGGGGACTTTTTGCAAGGTTGCCAGCGCGCGCGGGCTCCCCACCTTGGGCCGCTTGCTGGGCCAAGTGGGTCGCGGTTCCCTTTTTGTTTCCAGGGAATTAGAAAAGGTTTTCTAAAATAAATTCTGAGCTAATTTTTGTTATTTAGATATAAAATCATTTAGGGATCTAAAAATAGTGAAACCAATTTTGTTAGGTTCCTAAAATCATGATCTATCTGTTAATGTATTTTGTTCATCTAGTTGGTTCTATTTTTAGGGTTGCTCTGGTTATTTTAAAGTGCTTAGTATCATTAAGATATCATTTTGTAGGAATTATTGTGATCAAATGATGCAAGTAATAGACTTGAAAATTTTATAGTAGTTTCATTGTATTATTATGAGCTCTCTGTAATTTTTGTAACTTAGGATAATTAGTTTACTAAGGTAGCTAATGAATCCTAATTCGAATATATATTAAATCAACAAAATACAGGAACACCTTAGGGTTGTAGAACAGAAACATTTGTTGGGAAATAACGCCTTATTCGACAACATAGATACGTGGCCTGTACGTTAGTCACTAGATCTAGCTCGTTAGCGTGAGAGGCGTAAACGTAGTTTAAGAGTTGCGGTTGCCTTTGATTAATTACGACTCTGCACTGCATTCACATATGTCATAATAGGAACAATGATGGATCGTGGAGTTGATCGGAGTAGCAGAAAAGATGGTGCCTTGGTGATCGTGTTGTCACGATGGAATGCTAACTTTTAGTTATATTTTACCCAGGCAAGCCCTGGTGCATAACCCCTATTATTCTGCACTTTAATTTATGCTTATGCATTAAGTTTAAGGAGTTGAATGAAACCCACTTGCATATATATATATATATATATATATATATATATATATATATATATATATATCCTTATCCTATGAGTTTTACTAGTATGACATGATCATGTAGATCGCTATGCTACAGGACTCCGGTAGAAGTCGAGTGGTTGCCTGTCACTCGCGAGAGATAGGAAAGATATTATTATTGCTATTATATTATTATCACCTAAAAATATATATGAATGATAATTGGAGACCGGGCGGAATGGTACTTTGGATCTGGACTTGGTTGGCATTCGAGCGAGGCTCGGGTTGCACTTGTTCTGCCTGTGTCGGTTAAGGACCGGCCATTACATTGGGTTCTAGTCAGGTCACATACTTATTATCCTGAGCACATACTTATTTATGGGAGCAGGAAAGACTCGTTGCTCTCTTGTCGTGGGTTCCGGCTCTTTTTGGACTGACTGATTGGCGGCGGGGATGGTGGAGGTCTAAGCACTACACTGAGTCCGGGACTCAGGTGTGGGGGCTTGGAGTTCAAGTTTGGATGGGGACCTGGACCACTTGATAGGAGAGTGGTGGGTTGGTCCTGTTTGTGCCTGGGGTACAAGCGGAGCGTGTATTTTGGGTTACCAACTGGGCACATTGATTCGCGAATCACTGGGTAATCCGGTATGACTTATCTATGATCTAGCACCGTAGTAAGAACTGAAATATGAAAGATGATAAAATAGTCTAATTGCTTACCACCTGCTTGAAAGTAGCACAGGTGCTTATATAGAATGGTTAGTTAATGAACTAATGGTGACTGCTAATGAAATTGAATATAAGGATACACTTTTAGTAATGCTTCTTGCAGATGTAGTAACCCACGAGCCAGATAGCCTTGTATATCCTTAGGGTCTTTTCTTTTCTCCTGACGGATAAGCCTTGCGGAGTACAATTGAGTACTCAGGGTTTATTCTACCCTGTTGTGGGTGATAGGAACATGTGGAGCTGGCACTTGTGTGTAGAAACTTCCTGGTGGGCTCAGCGAGGATTTTCTTAATGTTGCGGACATAGAGTTTATTTGAAACTTTCATCCAAAATGTTTTACAATGGAAAACTTATAACCTGCTATGATGTATATAACGGATCATCATGTTAATGTTTAACTTATCATTAAATGATTTTATTTCCGCCGAGACTCTAATAACATGATTATATTCCGCTGTTATAAACAATAAATATTATACTCTGATGTTGCATGAAAAGTGATGTAAGAAATGGCTAAAATGTTGTAATCTTTATTCTCTCATTTATGATCCTGATGAAAAAATATGGATTTTCGGGTTCTCCCATGGGGTGTGCTCGACGGAACTACCTGATGTAGCTCACCTTCGGGGTGCTTAGTGTCTAGTGGAAGATAAGCGCCTCCGTAAGTGTGTTATTTCGGGCGGTTCTGCCATACTATCCTAAACCCGGTCATAAACTTCTCTATACACTTATGACCAGTGAAATGAAATGCTCTATAGGTTATACCTTTGCCTTGCGCATTCCATTCCATCTTCTCCAATGTCGATGCAACACATGCACCAACACAACCAACAATGATATGATCCACTTCATATCATCATGTGACCTTATTAGTTCATCGATCTTGACGTCACTTGCTCTTCATCGTTGCATCGGTCCATCGGCGCCAAGTCTTTGCTCAAGCATCCTGCCACGCAGTCCAGCGCTTCAAAGCCTCTGACTTGCCCTTCACTCTTGCAACCGGTCCATCAAGCCAAGCCTCATCTTGATCTCCTCCACCTTAGTCACATGACTCCATGTCATGTCTCATATGCAATTAGCTCCTTCATTACATATTCACCCATGGACTAATCTTCTGTGTATTCTCACATAACCATATATTAGTCCACCTAGGTTGTCACTCAATTATTAAAACCAAACAAGGATCTTTCAGCGTGCGACGAAGGGAGGAGTAGGAGAGGGCGGTGTAGTGGAGCCGCATCGGGGGCTGCGGGGTCGGTGACACCGCGCGCGGGTTGAGTCCATGCGCCTCGTTCCCCTTGGAGAGAAACAGCATGGTGAGGGACTCCCGAGACGTACTTGTACTCCCTCTCCAGAAGCTGCTGCAGCGCATCCGACCTCATCCTCCGCGGCAACGGGCCGGGGCAACAACGGAGACGGCTTCTCGAGCTCCTGGATCTGGCGCTGGTACTCCGCTGGGGAAGTCTCCACGGGCACGTTCTCTTGGACGGAAACAGAAGCGGTGGCCGAAGCGGTGGGCGCGGGCGAGATGTAGGCGGGTGCGTCAGGGTCGGTGGAGGTGTACTCGGTCGCCGCAACATCGTCGATGGAGGCGAGGCAGAGTCAGAGGCGACCGGCTCATAGACGCGCTCCTCCATGACGCGAGCAGGCTCCTCGAACAATCCGCCCTAGTTGTCGGCCACGATGTAAGCGACGACGGTGAGCTACTCCTTCATCGGCTCGTAGACGTGCTCCTCCAGGAGGGGGACAGGCTCGAACAGCCCTCCCCAGTTGTCGGCGACCACAACGGCATCGAAATGCGCCGCAGGGGTTCGCTCGGGGATGACGATGCAGGACTCGACGGCGGCGACGCGCCGCTCCCATGCGGCTCGGGGCTTGGAGTGGTGCCACTCCCAGCGAGCCTCGATCTCGTCGAACTTCCTGAGAATCTCATCGAAGGCAAGCTTGTGGGAGGGATCCATGGTGGAATACCAAAATCAACGGCTCTGGTACCAGATGTTAGCAACCCAACTAGGATTGCCCTCAGATAGTAGCAAGGAACTAGATACAGTATAGAGTCCTAGGATGAAGATGAACAGTAACTAAAGGTAAAAGGTAATTGTTGATCTGGTTGATGCCCCGTCGCTGCTGCCCCCGTGCCTTCTTGTAGATGACACCTAGCTGTCCAGCAGGCCATTGCTCGACTAGGCCCAAGCCCACGGCCCATACTAAGGCCTAACCATGGGTAGTCCCGGACAAATAATGAGAAAATAAAGTTGAAAAACAGAAATGGATTTCTTAAAATAATAAAAACACCACTACCGGAAAAAAACATATGTTCCTAAATCCCGGATTCCATCCAAATTGTTTTGATTCCTATCATTGGTACAAGAAAGGTTTTAGGAGATATATATGCTCTTTTATCTACCAACAAATAATGTCAAAATGTGTATCTATCTTTAAAAATACCCCTAGGATGTCCATGTAAAATTTTATTGACCCCTAGAATGTCGCTAAGGTGTCTTGTAGTGAATATTTTCTCTACCTTAATATAAAGACGTACATCTTTTGCCTATCGAGAGAATAAAAAATACCCATCAATTTTCAGACCAGTCGACACATTTTCAGACCGGCCTTGTGTGGTAGATGGTGTCGGCTTACCTCGCAGTAGAGCGGTGGCATGATAGTTGAGCGAGAGAATACTTTCAATTCCTAAGTATAATACAGTTTTTCTGTGTCTGCTGCTGCACAGGCACAGCATATCACATTCACAATAATTCAGTCGAAACAGTATTTTTCTCTCATAACAATTTAACCGGAACCGTATTTTTTAGCCGGTTTCAGTCGTTTTGGACCAGCGGGGCCATGGTCTCTTTTTCGCTAGGCACGAATCATGTACCTCATGGGCAAATTTTACTTTCTCACAGTCACAGCAAGTACCGGGACTTTTCACGTACGACGTGGTCAACACTCAACAGACACACGATTGTATTCCAGTTCCAGCTGCGATCAAGCACTCGACTCCATGAACGCCTTCATCTTCGCCGTGAGCTTGCCGGTCTCGGGGAGCTCGGGGAACCAGAAGAAGCCGTGAATCGCCTCATCGAACTCCTCCAGCTGCACCACCTTCCCCTTCTTATCCAGCACGCCGGCGTACTGCCGCTGCCAGTCCTGCAGCGGGTCGAGCCCGCCGACCACCACCATCGCCGGCGGGAATCCGTCCGCCAGGTCCGCGCTCTCGTCGGTCACGTGCGCGGCCGGGTGGTTCCGGTCGGCGCCCTCAGGCAGGAACGCCCGCCACGCCCAGTCCGAGTCCCGCACGGTCACCACCCACGCCTTCCCGTCCAGCCTCTCCTCCGAGCCCGTGCGCGCCTCTCCGCCGAAGAACGGCTGTATCAGGATGGCGCCGGCGAGGCGGAGGATGGTGGGGCTAGAGGGCGCCATGCCGCCCGTCCAGCGCTGGGCCACGTGGTGGACGATGTTGCCGCCGGCGCTGTCCCCGGCGAGGAAGCACCGCGAGAGGTCCACGGGGACGGCGACGTCGTCGGGGAGGCCGGCGGAGGCGAGGTGCCGCAGCACGTCCACGCCGTCGTCGTACGCGGCGGGGCACCGGTGCTCGGGGGCCAGGCGGTAGTTGACGGACACCACGACGGCGCCGAGGCCGTGGCAGAACCGGCGGCACATGTCGTCGTACGGGATGGACGAGGCGGACAGCAGCGTGAAGGCGCCGCCGTGGAAGTAGACCAGCACGGGGAGCGGCGCCGAGGCCTGTGACGGCGAGAACACGCGAGCCCAGAGCCCGCGCGACGCGTCGACGGTGACGTCGGCGGACCGGACACCGTTCTTGTCCGAGCGGGCGCTGGTGCGGGCCGAGCGGTCGATGGCGGAGAAGAAGCGGCGGTGGACCGTGCCGCTGCGGCTCATCGCGATCCTGCCGACGGCGACGATGATGTAGAGCTGGAGCTGCACCATCCATGGCAGCGCTGGCGGCGGTGGAGCGCGTGCCGCCGTTTCTTGCCCGTTGCTGCCACCTTCCAGCTCCATTTCCATCTCGCTCGCTCTTAGTCTTAAGCTCTTCTTAGCTGACGCGTTGGAGATGGTGGACTGATTACTTAATTAGTAGTAAGCCACAGCCACGATTGCTGCATCTTATCCTGCTACATACTCGTACTGGGTTAGGGCCCATGCTGCCATGCATCCAACCTGAGCCAACCACACCTCATCCAGTAGTCAACCTGTCACCATCGCCGACATCTAACGATTTTTTTTTTGGGGAAACAACCGACATCTAAAGATTTGGATTAAACCAAATAATTCATGTCTAAAACGATATATATTAAGAACAAAATAGCAATTTCATTCCCATACGAGTTAGAAATAAACATCTAAATAGATAGTCCTGTAAAAACACAGTTCCTAAAGGCAAATTTGAATAAACTAAAAATATAATATATAGTTTGATGTCAAAGTGAATCGTAAAGAAAGAATATCTACATAAGTTACTCATATGAATTATAATTAGTAAATATCAAAATCCAAAGTTAAAACTTTCAGAAAAAAATAGTAATTTGATTTGTATACGTCGGAAAAAGCACCTAAATAAAAGGTTAGTGTATTGCTAAGTAAATGCAAAAAGTTAATGTCTTTCACGCTAGAGGCTAAAACCTACCACGTTAATCTTATTCTTATAGTTTTAGATTGTAATGGTCTAGATCGATCAAAAGATACGAGGAATTTCCTTTTATATAATACAAGTTCGGCAGAGTTGCTGACCGTTTCAAAAAAATAAGATACAAGGGATAAATAAACACTCCAATACATATAGTACCGATACGGAGGAAGGTAGTATTGTAGGATTTAATGGATGTTACAACTAAAATTTTCATGGTAATTAAAAAATAAGGAATGTGGAAAGAATTACACATATGCACAAGAGGTATCCAAGCGAGACACCAATGATAATACGTCATAGGTCTTAGCACTCAAACGAAAAATAATCAAAATCCTTTTTTCATGTCGTACTTTAAACCTCCAATTTCTATATGTTCCCTTGCTATAGCTCTAAGCTCGATGGAGTTGCCCTTTCCCTTCATGACCGAAAAAATATGCATCATCATTGACGTGAGCAAAGAGAAAACGACAGTGTCGATTCCAATGATCATGATACAAATTTGACATATTTCAAGGCGGTGACCTAGAGAAAGAACAAGTTTTGGCATCATGATTCTCATATTATGACCAAATCAAAAAAACATATTGTCTTTTGACACTTTAAGTGCAATTTACAATTTGTCAATCTATTCCATGATGCACATGCGTAAGAAGCTTGCAAACAGCCTAATAGATGTCATTAGATTTTCTTTCTCCATAATGTTACAAGCAAAAGGAAGTGAACCTAGCTCAACTGATTGGGTGAGAGGTGTGGCTATGCACCCAACCATCCAGGTTTAAGTCTCGTCTTGACTGAATTTAGGTGCCTATTTCTCTTCTAAATAAAAAACCACCTAGTTCCTCGTAGGTCACAGATAGCAAGCCTGAGATGAGTAGATGACTGGTGATGGTTCTACTGTTTGTTTTTGGGAATGCTTGAGGTGATGGATATTAGCACAACAGCAGGGTTGTTCGCCGGGTATTTGGGACAGTAGTAGTTCTAGAAGATATGAGCAACGCTGTGATAAATTTCGACAGTGTTTTAGGGGAAAAAAGGCAACTATAAATCCCCAAAATAATGTGCAAGATGATCTAAAATTTAATATAGAATAGGAGCTCAGGTTCAGTTCAGCAAAGCTCCGCTCCTAGCTTCTTCAGAGCGGATTCTGTGGAACCTTACGAAACACTTAAAATGCAACTAAATTCTGGTGGAGACCTGACGAGGATCACTTCTCCATTTACATTACGAGCTGTGAGCTAAAAAGAACCCTGCTCTCCACCGCTTCCTACTACTCCATGTTCAACCGCCACTAGAATCACTTCAGAATCACTTCTGAATTGATTCTCACCCGCTCCCCACCCTACTCCTCCACTAAAACCACTCCATTTGAGAAATTAAGAAGTGAAACTCAAGAATCATGAATGGGGGCTCTAGCAAACTGATCCTTAATGAACCGAACAATTTGTGAGAGACTTGATAGTGGTTTATAAAGGAATGGAGTGACTATAAAAGGAAACATCGTCCAAAAAAAAGACTATAAAAGGAAACATAAGTCTAACTTAATTTGACATCAGTATAAATTATACAGCTGATAATAATTTTAAGGCAAGAATGATGATGGTTGTACACAGTTCGTGCACATGGATAAAGCCGCGGAGAGAGGACCAATAGGGCCAAGTAGGTCCACGTTGCTTCCGCCGGGACCTCTTAGGGTTGATGATCAGTCAGGCAGCCGAGTCAGAGGATGCGTTGCTGTCATCTATGAACGCCTTCATCGCCTCCACGAGCCTAGCGCAGTCGGGGAGCTCGGGGAAGAAGAAGAACGTGTGAATGGCCTCCGGGAACTCTACCACCCGCACCGCCTTCCCCTTCCGCCGCAGCACGTCGGCGTACCGCCTCTGCCAATCCTGCAACGGGTCGAGGCCGCCGATCACCACCATCTCCGGCGTAAGCCGTCCGCCACACGTGCGCAGCGGGGTGGTTCCGGTCGGCGCCTTCCGGCAGGAAAGCCCGCCACATCCAGTCCGAGCCCCGCACGCTCACCACCGGCACCTTCCCGTCCAGCCTGACCTCCGCGTCCGTCCGCTCCTCGCCGCCCAAGTACGGCTGCACCAGGACGACGCCCGCGAGGAAGAATGGGCTGGAACGCGGCACGGACGAGGAGGACGCGACTCAGGCCGTCGTCCAGCGCCGCGCCACGTGGTGGGCGATGTTGGCGCCGGCGCTGTCCCGGCGAGGAAGCAGCGGGAGAGGTCGACCGGGACGGCGACGCCGTCGGGGAGCCCCGCGTTCGCTAGGTGCCGCAGCACGTCGACGCCGTCTTCGTACGCGGCGGGGCAGCGGTGCTCCGGGGCGAGGCGGTAGTCGACGGACACGACGACGGCGCCCAGCTCGCGGCAGAACCGGCGGCACATGGCGTCGTAGGGGACCGAGGCCGCGGAGAGCAGCGCGAATGCGCCGCCGTGGAAGTAGACCACGACGGGGAGCGAGAACACGCGCGCCCACAGGCCGCGCGACGCGTCCACTTCCACGTCAGCGGACCGGACGCCGTGCACGTCCGGGCGCGCGCTGGCGCGGGCACGGCGGTCGAAGAGGCTGAAGACGGAGCGGTTGATGGTGCCGTCGCGACGCATCGAGAGGCCGCCGGCGACGTTGAGGGCGAAGAGCATGAGCCGCACCTTCCACGGCAACAATGAATGGTCACATGGAATCGATCTTATCCTGCTGGTCGTCGTCAACCGCAAAGCCAACCAAAACTACTCACTCGCCTAGCCGAATTCAATGAGGTGTTGCTGTCGGCGGATCACGTCGCTGCCGGTGCAATCCTCTCTCCAGATAACACTCATCCATCTATACTGATCGAGTCTGCACTGGCAAGCACGGTCACCACGTCCGCGTACGTACGTCGCTGACCTTGCGCAGTCGGGCCACGAGACCGGCGGCCTTAGGCCTTAGCGGAAATGGCAAACAGGACGACGCCATGTGATATTTGTTCTTGCCACCTCGATCATCTCTAACTGTATCTCAAAGTCGATCTCAATCACGATTGCGCTGGCAGAGGTTAGTGGCAGCATGTGAATGAACGATCTCCCTTTCCTTTAGAGGTAAGGTAGGTAATAAAGCGCTTTGGTTGGAGTTTTGACGCTACATCATCGATCAGAATATACTACTATAAATAATACAGAAAAACTAAAGCTTGCGTGAGTGATTTGTTTTGACTCGTCACACGAATTTATGTACGTTGGATTTGCCCACCGACTTCATCCGTGCCGTTCATAGCACGCCACGCGTCAGTCTCTGATCTTCTCGTCTTCTGCCATAGTGCCATTATTTTACCTTTAACTGTTTGAACGGCAGTGTCACCTTGAAGTGTGCTCTGACATACAAATTTACACGCCATCTCAAAGACATTTCATTCCATTTTGTAGTTTGTATACCTGATGCCGTATGCTTCTAGCCTACACGTACACCAACACAAAAACAGTTTTGCTTTGTCAGGGGACAGTAATTATTATTTATAGTTCACTCATTGTTACTGTGGACTTTGCCTTTTGCTTTTTAGTTCATGCGTTGAGTTTTTAATTATGTTTTTTAAATTTTTCTGTTTGTTAATGTTGTTTATTTGGGCAATAACTCTTGTTTTTTTACTTAGATGGCTAATTTTGTTTCATTTTTAATACAAGGCCCTCTAACATTGTTAATTTGCATTCATCAAATACTATCATTTGATGTTATTTCTCACCCTTTTCCTTTGTAACTTGAGATTTCCCAATGTTTTTTATATGTTTGAAATTGAAGGCTCAAATATTTTTTTACAAATTTTTAAACTTCGATTATTTGCTGATCTCGATATGCATTGTTCCAATTCTTAAAATTTATTTAGTTTCACTACATATATCATGCTTGGTTGTAAATCTTCTTTTTGTTACCTAGTTTTTTTATTTCATCACCTTACAATTTCTTTTTCCTAATTAGCGTTCATGAAAGGAACTAAGATTTGAGTCCTCTCTCCTAGAATATGATTTTAGTTACTATGAATTTATACTAGATTTACACTTCACTCGGGTTTATGTTATGGTGATTATTTTGGTATAATTTCTAGGTAGTATTAGTGTAACTTAATATTAATGTCAAGATTTGTGTTTTTTTCTTAATTGTATTTATTATTTGAAATTTTCCAATTTTGATATGTTTGGTTAATTGAAGGCTCAAATATTTTGTTATTTTGCAATCCATAATAAACTTTTGTATTTTGTAACTTTGATTATTTGCTCTTTTGCATATGCTTTGGTATAATACTTAAAATTGAAGGCCCCCTATCTTTATTAATTTGCAATTCATAGAATAATATGTGTTTCTTTGTTTTTTCTAAATTTTTTTGTCATCTGAATTTTTCTATTTTGATATGTTTGATTAATTGAAGGCTCAAATATTTTGTTATTTTGCAATTCCTAATAAAATTTTGTATTTTGTAACTTTGATTATTTGTTCATCTACCCATGCAAGTTCCAAAACTTGAAAATTATTTAGTCTTACTATATTGCTTGGATGCAAATGTTCTTTCTGTTACCTAATTTTTGCTTTCATCTCCTTTCAATTTATTTTTCCTAATTAGCATTCATGAAAGGAACTAAAATTTGGGTCAAATTCTTCTCTCCTGGAATCTAATTTTAGTTACTAATTCAGAAAAGCTATCCTTTACCTGAGTAATTTGTTTACATTCATCACACAAATTCTGGTCCATCCGATTTGATTTTGCCCTCCATCGTGATGTCCTATATGGTGTCCAGTTTATTTTAAATTTTGCTCAATGAGAACACATGCGCTGGGTACGTGGTGTTTGGTAGGTAGCGTAAGAAAAATAGATCGTAGGCTTATTTACTTTGGATTTTGGTGTTTGATGATCAACACAATTAAATTGGACTAATGAATATGTAAATGTTTGTTTTGTAGTTTAATAGGGTGCAAGACGTGACTTGGACAAAAGCGACATAATGATCCGATGATCAATACCTTAAGCAAGACCCTAGGAGCACAAGAGAAGACCCAAGATATCAAGCGCAGTCCAAGCACGAAGATGGGAACCAAGCCGGATGCAAGATCGCTAAGAAACGAGCTTGACAGAGGTGATCGGACGCGGCCCTTATAACGACCGGACACATCCGATCGGTAGTCCGAGACTGCGGCGAGCGTCAGCAGGCGACCAGACGCTGAAGAAAACATGTGACCGGACGCACCGATGACACTGTTCATCATCACGGTAATGTTATTAGCGTGACCGAACGCAGCGGCACTGGACGACCGGACGCAGGAACTGTAGCGTCCGATCGAGTCCAGAGAGGTTCCAGAGCGGCGCCGGCGCGACCGAACACGTCCGATCAACAGTGACCGGACTCAGCGCAGAGTCCGATCAACGCGCGCGCTCCAACGACCGGGATGACCGGACGTGTCCGATAAAAACGACAGCAGCGTCCGATCAGTAGTAGAAAGCTAGGTTTCATCCCAACGGCTATTTTCTCCATGGAGCTTATAAATAGATTCCCCAACCGGCCATTTGAGGAGAGGAGAGTTGAGAAAACATACCAAGGGTGTTGATACACCATTTTAGTGATCTCCACTTGCATAGTGCTTAGTGATACATTAGGTGATTAGCGTAGGTGTTTTTGCGAAGTGCTTAGGTTGATTAGACCACTGCTTATGCGCTTGCTCTAGGTTTAGGCCTACTGTTTAGTGAGGTTTGCATACCTCTTACCACTCGGTGCTTGCGCGCACTATTGTTGTACATCGGAGGAGCTTGTAGTCTTGCGAGATCACACCAACCGCGTTTGTGGTGTGGCCGCCACCGTGTACCGGAAGGAACAAGATCCGCGACATTTCGGCCGGAAGCTTGATAGTGAAGACGACGGAGAGCGGTCCGGGAGAGGCTTGCCGGAAGGCACACCGGAGACCCACTTGTGCGTGGGGAAGGCCCGAGGCTATCCATGGAGTTACCCGACCGGGAGCTTGACCATTGCGAGGGATTCCTTGCGAGGGGCTCCAACGAGGACTAGGGGGAATCTTGCGCGCTTTTCGATACCTCGATAAAAATACCGGAGTCATCGACGGGAGTTTGCATATCTCTACCTTACTCTTTAGCTTCTGCATTTACATTATTTGCATAACTCCTTTTGCGGTAGAGATAGCAACACACTAGCAAAATCGTAGTCACATATTTAAATAGTTTATCTTTTGCATAGGTTTTGTTAAGGATAGAAAAAGATGCCATAGTTTTGAGTTAGAGTTTTAAATTGCCTAATTTAACCCTGTCGATGTTTTACCACCGATAGCCTACCACAGGGGTACCGTGGCAGTATCGTTCGGGTTTTACAGCGTATCTTGAACTTCGATGGTGAACGCAAGAGACAATCGATTTATCTGGTTCCAGCCCTCGATCGTAGATCGAGTAACGACCCTCGTCCGATCGGCGTTTGCCTTTTATGTTGGATTGATTATGAAGTGTTATGTCGTACCATTGTCCTCTTTGAGAGCCCCCTCTCCTTTATATAGTCGGGAGGCCGTGGTCCTAATCGGTTTACAATGAGATTTCTTAGTAGGATTACTTAATAGTTCTATTACTGAGATTACATGGGAAGAATCCTAGTTGGACTAGATCTTCTCTCTCTCTTGCAGGGTATCCTGTGGGTCCCGCATCGACAAGCCCCCGAGCACTTCATGGTTGAGCTCTGAAAGTCTCGCTTTATTCCTTCAAGTCTTGTTAGGTAGGAACAGAATGTTATCCGAGTGCTTTCTAGAGTGAGACCTTGTAGCGCTTCTTGGGATCTTCGAGTGGTGAGTGTTTTGTGAAGTCCGAGTGCTTTCTAGAGTGAGACCTTGTAGCGCTTCTTGGGATCTTCGAGTGGTGAGTGTTTTGTGAAGAAAAAGTACATCCATCTGGTTGTAGCCCCCGAGCCTCTTGCTATTTGGAACAAGGAGCTGGAGGATCTTGTCTTGAAGTTGCTCTGATTGTTCGTTGAAGTTTTGTCAAAAAGAACTCGAATATGGATCGTTCTGGGTTCTTTTTGTCGCAATGTCTTGAAGTTGTCTGCGTTGAGTAAGTCTTTTGGTGACGTGCGCTTTTTCGAAGAAAAAGTGCACTCACTGAGTGTAGCCCCCGAGCCTCTTGCTATTTGGAACAAAAAGCTGGAGGGTTCTGAAGTAGTCCCCGAGACTTGAATTATGTCATCATCCGAGTAGTTTTTGTGGTATCTTTCCGAAGCGGTCCTTTAGTCCTGGATTAAACCATCATCCGAGTAGTTTATGTGGTATCTTTCCGAGGCGGTCCTTTAGTCCTAGATTAAACCACCATCCGAGTAGTTTATGTGTTATCTTTCCGAGGCGGTCCTTTAGTCTTGGATTAAACCATCATCCGAATAGTTTCGCGGTTCGCAGCCTCTGAGCCTACGTCCGAGTTCTTTTTGGTGGGTGCAATTTTTCATAAAAATTGCACTCACTTTGAAATGTAGCCCCCGAGCCTCTTGCTTTTGCTTGCAAAAGTTAGAGGGTCCAGATTCTGCCTTCAAAAAAAATTACAGGGCTATGTATCCCATGCACCTCGTGCCTTCTCCGAGTTCTTTTCTTTTGAAAAAGAAGTCGGTTGAAAAAAAAAATCTGATGCGTCGTCGTCGTAGTA